GGGGGGCAGCCACAGGTGTGGCACATACTTTCTCTTTTATGGAAACATCCGTTATTTTCTTAAGAATGGACTTTTAATGTACATTTGTTCTAAACGCTCTCTGCTGACATATCTAATTAAGAACATATAGAATTGCTCTCAGTTCTTCCAATTTTGGAGTTTCATGATCAACCTCCAAAACAATGAGTCAGTGGCCGTCAGAATTCGTGGCCGCCTACCCAGAGCTCTGTGGGAGGGCACCAACATGCAGGAGGGCATCCCTCAATGGGAGGGTGTCAACATACACTGAGGCCTGGGTCCCTGTGGACGGCCAAGTCCAAGGTCCTTGCATCTGGCAAGGTGAAGTTGCTCTTCCCAGATGGCCGACTCTTCCTGGCCTGTTCTGCGCCTACACTGGCAAGCAGTGTAGGAACCATCTTTCTCCAGGTGCAGCAGCCCCTCGGAAGATCTGCCCCATCTTGGGTGCTGATGTGCTGTGTCCTCGTAAGCTGGTCTCCCCATAAGCTAGTCTCCCCAGATGCTCTTGTCATAAGGGCGCCCGGTTCCTGGACCTACCTTCAGAACTCCCCTGCTTGCTCCTTCACCCTGAAGATAAGGCCACCGGTGGGATAGAGACAGTAGCGCTTGGCTTGCAGCCCTTCTGGAACCTCTGTCTTCACGTGGACACCTCACCCCCATGTCTGCCTGGCTGGACTCCAGACCATCTCCTTGGGGCCTTGCACAGAAGGCCCAAAGTTCTCCCCTGCTGTGATCCCAAAAGGGACATTGTGTTGAGCTGTGTCTTTTCTCCGAGTGAAAACTTCTTCCTGACAAATACCCATGTCTCTTTCATGGCTGCTCTTTTATCAGAACCCAAGGAGCTGCAGCAGGACACAGCAGTGTTCAGGGTGAAATGTCCACATTTGCAAATTCCAGGTCCCTCAGCGAGCAATGCCATTCTGCCACCTGGGCCTGAGGCTCTGCGTCATCACCGTACGTGAACACACCAGGAACCTGATCCTGTGGCGGGTGGCTCCCAGGGGAGTGGGGCGAGGACAGTGGGTCCTCACATGCTTCAGTGTCTGGGGCATTTTCCAGTTGAGTCTTGTATAATCCAGAGATGAGCAGGGTTTCAGACCGGCCTTCCAGAGGCTCACATTGCCCTAGAAAACTCTGGGAGGGGTTGTGGTCCTCAAGGCTTGCTGTGGCCGCTGCACCATCCCTGCCCTCCCCTGAGTGCTGGTCCTGCAGGGGCTCCCCAGCTCCCCAGTCATCCCCACCAAGGACCTCGTCCTCAGCCAGAGCCCCAGCATCCTCAGAGCCCGTGGAGCTCAGCGTGAACAGGGATCCCTCATCAGAGTCGACATCACTCTCCAGCGTGGGACCGACAGCAGCCCATGGGACAGCCAGGACACTGCCCTGTCCTGGGGTGATGGCCAGTGGGCCCATGTCTCTGGGCTCACTGTGCGGGCCTGCACTGGGGCAGGCTGAAGGCTCATGCCAGTGACTGGAAGTGGTCCCAGGTATGTCCCTGGGAAGATTCCCCTGCGGGTCTGTGGCTTCTGGGGGTGACTGCTCAGCGCCCCCTCCCTCCCAGCTCTCCCCAGGTCTCAGCACCTCTGTATATGTCAACCTTCTAGAAAGAGAAGCTGCCATCTGTTTGATGAGGGCCGGGGCATATTCACTGGGCTCACTGCGGGCTGAGTAGGAGTCTGTCTCCACTGAGCCAGTCACAGAGGAGATGCCCACAGAGCATGCATTGAGAGGACCATCTGGGGCCACCATTTCATGAGTTTCTTCTCCGAGATTTTTACTGCTGTAGATGTGGTCCTCTGCGGCTGACTGGGGCTCCTGGCTTCTGGTATCTGGGTGTCCACAGAGGACGGAGTGGGCTACACTGTCCCTTCTGCCTCCTGTCCTGGGGTCGGCCACCCATGGGTTTGAGCTCTGCTGACCATCAATCTTGATTCTGTGCATGTCCAGGGCTCTGTGGGGATGGACAGTGGTGTGTGGGCTCGGCTCCGTCACCTGGAAAGGGCCCCGGTTCTCATAGATGTTCAGATCAGGGGAGGCTTGGCCCAGGTGGGTCCTCGGTAGGCCGGCAGGTCTTGCAGCCTCCACATCGTCATAGAAGCCCTCATTGGAGTACGCGGCGTCTGTGCCAGGGCGCCTGGCCCGGCACCTTTGCCACAGCCTGTCCACATAAGGCCTGGTGAGAGCCCCCAGGCAGAAAGCCACCAGGAACGTGATAAACACTGACAGGCAGACGGCCAGGGCCAGGTTCTGGGGTGCAGCCCCTTCCCTGCTGGTGGCGGGTGCTACCCGGGCCTTCCGAGCCCTGCCTGGAGGCCAGAGGCCAGAGCTGGCCCCAGCCTTCCTCCCTGGAAGGTCCAGGCCCCGGCGCC